TCGTGAGATACTAATCGTGGATATTCATTTCTTAATAAAATACAATCATTAGAAAAAAAAAATCGATTTTTGGTTTTTTTTTTGGGGAATGTTTTTGTAGTGTATTGGGATTTGGGAGTAGGGTGAGATTTTTGTCGATTACGTTCGGTGTTAAACTTTAGTATGGTCAGGTTAAGTGTATGAAGGTTGATAGTTTGGTAGTTTAGTTTTCATTAGGGGATGTTTGGAAATGTAATGTTGATTGTGTAGGTATTGCATTTTGGTTTTATACGAAGTGTTTTGTGCAGTGTTTGATAACATTTAGAATATTGTACTTTTGTTTACATTGAAAAGTGTCATTCTATTCACAAGAAGACATACGATGATGGGTAGTTTGAAGTTAGTCAGTTGTACTTGGTAGATGTTGGTTTCAGTGTCTGTAACGTAGGATAAAAGATTTTTTGTTGATTTTGGCAGTTGTAAGGAGACATGGTTTGTAATTGTGATTTGTTACGAATGATTTTGATAGGAAGATATTTTGTTGTAAGTGTTACTTTTTCTTTGCTATTTTTGGGAAATTTATGTTCTGGTTAGAAGATGTTACATATATTTTGTATTTTTAAAGTAATGGAGATGTGGAGTTTTAGGTTAGATTAATGGTTGTATGGTGCTACTGGAATGATATATCGCTAAAATATGAGTGAACTTTGTTGATTTAACACAACTTGGAATATATGACGTAATATAAATAACTTTTGATCTTGGGACAACTGATAGGATTATGATGATTTTTAAGATAACTATGTGGATAATGATTAATGTATTATTTTGTTTCCGATGAAAAACGTTGTTGTGATGCATTGTTTGAAATGGAATTTATAAATATTTTCACTTTGAGAGATAGATGGCATGATCACGCTTTTTGCAAATGGGCTTGTATCAAATTATCTAAATTAATATTTTTGATGAAATGGAAATAATTCCATTACTGTTAAGATATATAAGCACATCAGATAATATCTGTAGTATTTAATTGAAATAAAAATAAAGTAAAGAAGTGGTACGAAGAGTCTTATGTATATATAAACATTAGCTTGATATTTGGTTAAGATAAATATATCGCATATAAGGAATAGTTTCTTTTTGAATGTACGAAACATCATAGTGGTATATAGTATTGATTTAGTTTTCTCCACTAATAATGTTTGTATCACAGTACTTCGATATAAACTTGTGTTTATATATGGTGTTTTGTATCATACTAACGGTCTTGTTTATGAGTAAATGTTCATGCTTTATTTGTATCTAAGATTATGTACAAGAATGAGTAAAAAGACAGATAAATAATATTAATAAAATGAGATAATATAGGTGAATATATGTATGTACAAATGAAAAGTTATAGAAAACTTATGAATAAAATGAGATAATATAGATGTGTAAATGTATGTATAGACGATAAGTTATAGAAAGTATGATAAGTTTTTGCACAATAGGTGTTTTATCAATTAGAAAAAGGAAAAAAAAAGGAAAATTTCGTATTTAGTATCAAGAATTAGTTGGTTCCATTTTTTTTAATATAGCTGGTGGTGGTTTTTTATGAATGAGAAGATTTTCTAATGTACGATTTTTGTCTGCACATAGACGCATGTTTATGTTTTTGACTGGAGACTCTGGATATTGATAATATTTTTTCCACCATGATTGGAATTGACTTGAGAATTGTAACCTATGTCCACTTTCAAATGTATAGTGTGGATACCACAGTTTGTTATCATAAATCTTTGGTTGTAATACTGGCGGTTTTTTTACGAGATCTTCTATTGAAATATTTCTTTTTTCTGCCTGCTTTCGTGTTGTGTGATGAAGAAGTTTATGATGTAATCGTTGATAATCTCGTTCATTTAAATATTTCAATAGAGTTTCAGCTTTATTGACTTGAAAAAATCTTTGAAATTGATTGCTGATGAGTTTTGGCAGATAATCACTCAGTAATAATGATATATCAATTCGTTGACGTTCTCGATTAAAATCATGTACGTTTGAACAAAGCCGTGCAGACCGTAATAAAGCACTATAAGGTACATTACGATGATATCGATGTGGATGATCTGATGTATATGGTAAATAATATGGTTCAGCAGTTGGTTTATGATAAATCGTTGTTCGTAATTGTCCATTTTCATTTGTAATAGTCAGATCAAGATAGTTTACTGATGTAGCAATTGTAGGTTCAATTTCTATATTTATATCTTTGACTTGTGCTTTTCCAAGTTCAATATTAATTTCATCGATAGTTTGATTAGTAGTCATGAAGATATCATCTATGTATCTATACGAAAGAAACAGTATTGAATAGAAATATGCTGATGTTGAGAATAGTTTACTAACCTTCCATAGATTTCATTATGTTGATTCTGGTGTATTATTAAATCTTGTTCCCATTCTAACATATAAATATTTGCATAGACTTGTGTAAACGCTGAACCCATAGCTCCACCTCGAATTTGTTTATAGTATTTACCATTATAAGCAAAAGTATTGTTGTCCAAAATTAGCCGAGCCATTTTCCAAATATGATCTATGCTTAATGTACCTATTTTGCCTTGATTAGAGTATTTTTCTAAGAAGCGTATTAATGCCTGTCTTCCACCTTCGCGTGGTATGACAGTATAAAGATTTTTAACATCAGCTGTTATAAAACATGTTGTTGATTTGAAAAAACCTTTTGATACATATTTTTCTAAACTCTGTACCAGCTGAACACTATTAGTAAAAGTTAGTTCAGCAGTAACTTTTAAATAGATTGGTGCTAAAAGATTATTTAAAAATTTTGAAAGTAATGCAGTTGGACAATTTATTCCAGCAAGAATCGGTCGGATTGGTATATCCGGCTATAAGACAAAAACAAAAATAGAATTTGAAATAGGAAAAGAAAGCGAGTGACATAGAAGTTTTACCTTATGTACTTTAGTTAATGCATGAAGATGAGCTAATTCTAGTTTGTCTAAACTAGGTAAAAGTTTATCACTTTGTGCTTTTGTTATTGCTTTTTGAGTTACAAGATAATTCAATAAGTTTTGTACAGCACGTAAGTTATCTGCTAGTGGACAATGACCATCTATGATTTCTTCATAAGCTGCTGTATTGTTCATATATTCATGTACTTTACCAGTTATTATAGTAGCATTACCTATGTAGAATCCTGGACTTTTATCGACTCGACATATCATAATATCGGGTCGTTGTCGTAGAAGACGTTGAAGACTTGTTACTCTTCTGTGTTCACGTTGAGCGCGCCGACGTAATCGTCGTGATAATGGTTTCGAATACACATCATAAATAATTTTTTCTAATTCTGGAAATGCTTTATTTGCTCGTTCGTCACTAATTGACATTCGATTATTACCAAGACATGTTTTAATTTTCGTTGATATTTTATTGTAATCTGTTTTGGCAAGTTCATCGATTGTCTGTCGAGAAAATAGACTCTGACATGGTATAATATATTTTAGGCCATTAATTAATATCAATATTTGTTCTAATGTTAAATCTAGATTAACATCAATAAATGGAAATGAGGCACATAATTTGGTATAAATAAAAGTTTTGCTCCGACGATGATTATTTTTTATTAATTGTTGTTGTCCATCGTCGGAGCTTCGTCGAAAAAAGACTTGAGTTTATATTGACGAGTATGAAAAAATCTTGTTATCATAGCTTTTCGACGTTGTTCGATGGCAGCGATTAATACATTTGTATAAAGCTGTGGATCTTCTTTGTTCAATTGGGATAATCTATTTTGTAAATCGATTAATGTTAAGCTATGACGACGTGCAACACTTTCAAGTTCATCCAGTTGTTGAGTCATTAAATTAAATTTACATTGTATAATTATTTTTGAACAACGTGATGCAAAACTAGCACGTTGATCTGGATCAAGAAATGGATTGGAAAGTGTTATTTGATTATCATCAACTAGTTGATTCACTATTTTATCTGTTTTTGAAGGTAATCGTTTTAGATAGATATGTTGTCGAAGAATTTCCTGTTGTTCTTTTGCTCTTAATTCATCAGCTGTTGATTGCCAAATTTTTTTTGCTAATTCAACTTGTTCTTCATTTGGCTTCAAGTCGTAAAATTTCTTTATTAAATGATGATCAGCGCAAGTTAACTCTAATAACTCATGTTTATATTGAAATTCTTGTTTTAATTTTTGTTGTATCTTTTCAACACATTCATTGATGGCATTTGATAGAACTTGAAAATCAATCGATGGTTGCCATTCTGTAATACTTACAGGCAATTGTAAGAAATGCGGATTCAGTTCAGTAGCAATACGTTCTCCTTGACGTTTAATAGTTTCTTGACGTTTTTCGATAGCAGATTTGGATGGTTTATGTATGCGACATGTATTATGTTTAGCTGCATATTGTTTTGTTACTTTTAATTCTGAAAAGTCATATTTTAAACTTATTCTATGATATTCTTGCCATAATGCTTGTTGTAATTGTTTGAAGTGTAATTGATCAGTAAGTTCAGTGATTTGACGAATAGTATAAATTTTTTCTGGGGTATTCAAACATTGAACGAGTTTGTTACCATCTTGAATAGCATTTGATAGCATTTGTTTAAATGTTCGATCGGATATTTTTAAGAAACACGATTTATACTTTTCTGTACTATTATCTGATGCTTCGACATTTTCATTATTTGATTGATTATCTGTTGTTGTTGTAGTTGTTTTCTTTTTCTTTGGATTTATTTGTGATATTGACAATTGACTTACGGATTTATCAAGTTGTGTTGCTGGTGGTGATGGTGTTGGTAATAGCACACGGCTTTTTCGTTTTCTTACTATTATAACATCATCATTATTATTTTCATTGGCTGAATTTGCCAAAGTGACCTAAATAAAGTATAAAGTTTTACATTTTTTTTAATCAAAAAGAAATATTTGTTGAAAAAGACATACTCGATTTAATGGTACATAGACTTCTATGTTTTCTATATCATATTCTTGTAGCATCATTTCTTCCTCATCATCATCATCATCATTATCATCATCTTCTTCTTCTTCTCTCGGTATCCCCTCTTCATCTAAATGTTCCGGTGCCATGTCTTCGTCATCATCGTCATCGAATAGCATGTCGGCATCATCTTCGTCTTCCGATGTTGTCTCTCCATCATCTTCTTGTAGCCTATCATCTGTTGTTTGAAATGGTTTATTATTCTGTTGAGCTTTGTCACTCATTATGAATATTTATATCTGAAATATTAAATAGTTGTACAAGCTAAAATACAAAGATTTTAAATTTTATAAAAGCCATCATCTTTCAAGAATTCGCTATTAGAAACATGATTTCTAATGTTAATCAGCAGTATAGTGTGTTGCTTTTCTGTAAAAAGTCTAAATAAAAATCAGAATAACAAAAGATTATATTAGAAAATAGATAAGAGCATTTACATGTAATCGGTGTTCATTAAAGAATAGTAATACCTTATTATTTCAGACGAAAATCACAATTAATTATCACAGACATGTGACATCATGATTATGATTTTGTTCGTTATACCACTTGCATCAATGTGTACATCGTATTGAAAGATTTATGTATGACAAATTAGCAATCCAAGCCATTAAACGTATAAATTAAATTGAATCATCAATGAAAGTAATAAAAAATTTTAGATACAAGTTATATGATAAGAAGTAGAACATAATGATCATACGGTAGGGTAAGTGTGAAATCGAACGCTGTTAGTGATAGCTTAGAAAAAATGATGAGTTGTTTTCTCATTGATATAATGAATCTGTTCTTTTATGAGCTCCCAATGTGAGGCAAAATTGTAGAATGATTAAAGCTGATCAGAGAAGAAGATGGGAGAAAGACGTTACTAAGATATATTCTAATAGGTCATACTCACTAATGTAACCTAGCTTAGACGGAAAAGGGACAAGATGACTACCAAAAATAATATCACTCTCAAAAAGAGGGGAAATGTAGGGGTAGGGGGAGAAAAAAAACAAGTACATACCAATGCATTGTACCAATAGAGCCTCCACAATGGTCTTCATAAATATGATATCTTTTATAGATGTCTCTGCTATACGATATGTTCATGCATTATTTTCTTATCTTTACAAACAGCTAGCAAAATCTAGATTTCATTTTTGAATTGGTAATAAAAAGCTATTTTAGATGTCGGCGTTACTGGATGTGTTAGATAATGATCTGCGCAACGGACAATAATGATTTAGTGTACGAACTTGTTCATAAGTATTAAAATCAAATAATTTTTCAGATAGGAAAAAGGTATTACTGTTGTCCGAACCAAACCTGATTGTACTTGATTATCCATGGTAATATAAAGACCGATACTGTGAATGAAACGCCAATGCTTTCCATAAATAATGTAGTAATGAACATCTATCAAATTACTGTAACTTCGCTGAGTATTCTATCTGGCTTACTAATACAACAACACACCTTAACTGAATTATATATCATTAAACGTGTTTTTATTCTATCTATGAATGAACAACAACTATCATCTTTCATGAATTGATAATTAGAAGGATACTGATGGATGAAGTCAGCGTTAGAGTCCGATAACATCGGTACATACTATTGAGACGAATGGAATCTATCGCGCTACGAGAACAAATAGTTTATTTAAGTACTATAAGGAGCATTACTCAAAATAGCGAACTACAATATGAAAACTAACATAATCTAACACAGTTCCAGACAAATCGACTATTTGATGCTACATAACACATAACATAATCAGTAATTATTCTGCTTTCCATCAATGATACTCTCATATATTGTTCTGTACTGTGAATTCAAAATCCGTACGTATACCTAACTACGATATTGAACATTCAACCTCAATCGGAATCTTTGTGATTACCATTTTACAACACATTAAGAGAACCTTTATACCATTTGCTTTATTTCTGTCAAATACTACATGCAAAGGCTCTAACGACTAACAGAACTCCGGATTCAACCCAAGATAATTATATTCTATAATCTTTGACTCTTTCAACAAATTTATCAAGAACAAACACTACGGCACATCGTCAAACAATCAGGAAGTAGCACAATGAACTTCACCAACATCCATTACATGTGACATCAACTACCCTCATATTACAAATACACTTCTGCCTTATAACATAAAACATAGGCATCAAATAAAAAACGTTCAACTTGAATATAGATGAAGATGTAAATAAGTTGCTACTAGTAGTATGACATAAGTTAACACTATTTCACTTACTACAATTCTTCCTGTACCGTGAATATAATAGATAATATACGCATTACTAGTCGACTTCATTTTCTTTTATTACAGACACATACATTGTTAGTAATAAATATCGTTTAATGATGAAAAAAATATTATTCTGGTTGATAGTTCAAAAAAAGAGATGAACAAAATAAACTTTTCTATATTAAGCATTTGTGTTAGAATACATACGAACTATAATTCTTGTTAATATTTTGGAATGTTCAGAATAAATATACAGAATGTTGTATGATGACTAATGTTAATATAAACTATTTACCATCATATTGAGCACTTGTAACAAATATTCAATCTTTTACTTGAAGCTAAAAGTGCATGTAAGTCCATACATCAATTATTAATTGTAAAGGATATATCAAAAAGGAAGTAAATCTTCAAGATCGAAATAAAATGAAGATGTGGTGATATCACTAGAATATGCGATAATAGGATGGTGCAATGACAACCGTAAGGAAAAGAAGAAATGGAACACGGTCATCAGTATGAACTGTTATCACTTTGTGACAATGATTCTGCCTTTTTCAGTCTCCAAAATTACTACTAGTCTTTTAAAACGACTCCAATTAATATCACAATAAACCGTAAAACATAAGGATTACAGTAGAAAATACATCTCTAAGAAGTCAGACACATGCAAACTCAAATCGAACTCATAACTTCAAATATTTGCATAAATTCTCCTTACAATAATACAAACAAAAAACTCAAAGAGACGCGTATCTCTATGACTTTCCTTTGCGTCATATCTTTCTTTGACATTTAATCTAAGGAGTACTGTCAATACCAACGCTATTTCTAACTGAAGTACAGAAAATCTTCAATCACATACTTCTCTTATATCTAACAACTCCTTCCAAATCCATAATTTAAAGGCACCCATATATAACATTGATCGAACAAAGCTATCAAAAAATAAACTTATCACACTTTAGATTTCATCGAATAACACATCATAACATAGGCTAACATCGTTCTCCTTCAATACCACAACTAATAAACTGCTTGCTGTTCGAACTCTGCATCATCAATACACCATAACCGAATCATAGAACATCCATACTAAAATTTCCCACTTCGCTCCCGAGCACATAGTCAACCATACTATTCCAAACAAAAAAAATACTATCACCCATAAAAAAAACCCACCACTTCGACAGCCCAAAACATACCCTGATCACCACCGGACGTGTACCAAAACATCTCATCAACGACTAACATCGACATACCACACAATCGCACCATACAAATGGTCCCTAACCATTCAAAACTCAAAATACCCTAGGCAGAACACAATACCACCAAAATCTTAATTCCACAGTAATTTGCACATAACAAAAATTTCACCTCTCACATACCGCTGTTTCAAATTGCCTTTTGCTTGAAAAATCATGCCCTACAATCCCACGTTATCAGAAATGCAAAAAGTGTAAAACTGAGAGAGGTCACCGTAAGGACATTTGAAAAAAAAGAAGTCTTTTGCGTACATTATAATAT